TCTCCCAGCTGCTACAGGAAAAGCTGCAGAGACTTGGGGGGAGGGAGGAGGGTCTGAGCAGCGGAAACCAGGGCCCTGCTAAAGAGACAGTGAACACAGTTAACATCAGACCATTAACCCTCCTCCCCACGCCAGCATGGCACTGCTCAGCCATGGCGGAACTCAAGTCCCAGTGTCATATCCATCCACCCATCCATTCGTTCGTTCGTTCACGCAATCGCAGGCATGATGGGAGTGCCGAGGGCTGAGCCTCTCCTGAGCAGGGAATACTGAAGCAAAGAGACAGAGGGGCCTTGATCTAGCTGCAACACCGCTGAACGCCAGAAGGGCTGTAGGAGAAAGACCAATGCCTGCTGAGGTGCAAAGAAGCAAAAGATTATAGTGGAGAGTCGAGCAGGGGACTTGGGCTGGAGGAAGCTGGATCGCAAAGAAAATGAAGATGCCCAATGGTGAGGAGAGAACTGGGAAGGCTGAGGTGACCGCTGCACTTGGGCCAGCGCAGCAGGACTGGGCCAGGGGTTGGGGGGGGGGGGGTTGCCACTGGGTTGTATTCCCAGAGCAAAGGAGGCGCTGAGGGATGCATAGGTCATGGTGATGGAAGCTGGGCTAGGGAAGGAGCCTGTGGGCTGCTGAGGCAGATCCAGGGGCGCTGTGACTCCTTGGAAGCCTGCAGCATCCTAGGCAAGGATCTGAGTCAGTGGTAGTTAAGGAAGAGAGCAAGAGATGATGCAAAGGGAAGATCGCCTTGGTGGTTGAAACGCTGGGCTCGCGGCAGTGTGACCGTGAGCAGGGAGCCGGCCTCTCTGTGACAGGCGCTGGCAGAGAAGCGGGAGTGCCAGAAAAACGGCCACATCTGTTTGGGGACAGCTGGAAAGCGAATCTGGGGCACATCAGGGAGCCACAACAAGAAGGTAAATGATGAGCCCAGCAAGCAGCAGGGACAGCCCTGACCAGTGCCGTCCTCTCCTTCTCTGTGCTCAGATCAGACTCTGGTTTCTCTGCATGGTAGCAAGGGCATGGGGAGTCCCCTTGGGTTTGCCCAGGGTTCCACACCCTCTAGGAAAACCCTGAACTCAGATTAGCAGAAATGATAGCTGGTCTCCTTCTCTGAGCTGTGGCTCACAGTCTTTGAAATCCTAGAGTCCACAGAACTGGTATGGACCACAACTGCCCCCTCCTGCCATCCACATTTTCAAAGGACTTCATGAGTTTGTTTGCCAATCACCAAATTCAAATCCAGACCCACAGGTCCCATCCGCAGCTTCCACTCCAATGCACTGGGTGGGCCTAAAAAGCAGACTATTTTAAAGTGACAGGAGGGACAGTCTGCCGACAACACTTGAGAGCCCCTGCTCCAAGCAAGTATCCTGGACAGGCGGTCCGGCAGCAGACACCTGTGACTCCCTTGAGAAAAAAGTGATCTCTGCAGAAACAGGAGGTTGCAGGCACCTAGCGTGTGGTGGAGTAATAGTAACTACCACGTCTGAGTACTTCCTACTGGCTGGGAGCTGTTCCTAGGCCCCCAGAGCCCACTTTGTAACATTTCCATTCTGCAGAAGAGGTGACTGAGGCTTCAAGTCAAGGCCACACAGCTGGCAGGTGGTGGAAGCCAGCTTCAGGTGTGGGAACCTCGCGGCCCCCACCCCAGTGATGCACAGGGTCAAGCTCTGGCAGAGATGCCCTTCCTTCTGCTTCCATCATCCCAGCTATAAGATGTCAGTGACAGTACCAACAGCTACCTGGAGCCTCTGGGGTCTTACCGCCCCTAAAGCCAGCAGTGTGCTCCCCCAAGCAGCACCCATGATACTCCATGAGCACTCAGCCAGGCAGGATGCCACCTGCAGCCTCTACCCACCCGCCACGGGACAGAAAGGGCAAAGGGCGTTCCTTCTGCCCTGAGCTGGGGCCCCCCAACAAAGATCTCATTGTATCATTCTCAATAGGAGGCTCTGTTCAATGGCAATAATATTATTTTCTGCTGCTGATGTGTCATTTCCATTTTTAAACAAGAAATATTTGGCTTCATTTTCCACCACAAGTCATGCTGTTTGGGCCTGAAATGAAGCCCCACAGGTGCCGAGACCTGCGACATACACAGCCAGGGACAGGTGAAGACTCACGGGCAGGGGCAGGTCACAGGGCTTGGAGAAAGGCAGAAAGCTTTCGTCCCAGCTGACTTCAATGACTCGTGTCTGCACATTTTGATTGCATCACTTAAAAGAGCCCTCTGGGGGCCCTCCCTGGTGGCGCAGCGGGTTAAAGCACAGCACTGAGAAGCTTAAGCCACTTCCACATGAGTTCGATTCCCGCCTGCCCTGGAGGTGACCACATGGCGTGGCAGACCTCTCCTGACCCGCCCGCTGCTCCCCTCAGCAGTGTACTTCTTCGATCTGCCTGTTGTGCTCCCCATTCTGTCTCTGGTAAAGCCTCTCGCCACCCCTGAGCCTCTGACCTGTACCCCAGTTCTATATGAACAAATAAATAAATCTTAAAAAAAAAAAGAGCCCTCTGTTCTCATAGTCATTAAAGAAGCTTTAATCGCCCTGCCTTCTGGTTTTTGTAGGTACCAACGAAGCCCCACAAGCCTCTGTCCGCTCCCCCTCCGGAAAACATGCCCTGTTACTCTCACTGAGACAAAATAACTTTCAGATTGTCTCACAACTTTAGTACCGCCTATCTCCGGGCGAAGGGCAAGCCAGTGGGGATCTGCAGAGCTCAGTAACTGCAGTGGTCATTTCTAAGAGCAGTTAATATTTTTATATAAAATATAAAAGAAGTGGAATTTAGGGTGTGGCCACTACATCACATCACAGTCATGTCTCATTGCATTTATTCTTTGGGCTTTGCTTGCTGAATCTCTGCTCTTCAGCAGAGGAACAGACCGAAGACAGACTGCACAATACAATGCATTGCATCCTGCCTTTGCACGCCTCCTTCGTTACCACCTGCCATGAGGCCACCTGCTGCCCATTCCAGGCACCCCAGGCCAGGTTCGGGACTTGTGGAGACACCCCTCATCCCTGCACAGAAGGAATCCACCTGCAGTAAAAGGAAAGAAGACCACTGTATGGAGAAGAAAGCCAGAGAAGATGTGGGGGTGTGGGCAAGGAGGGCTTGCCTACGTGGCAAAGGGGTGTACGAGGTGGGGGGCAGAAGAGCACCAGGAAGCAAGAAAGGGGCCAAAGAATGAGTCACATGTGAGGAGTGAAGAGACACATTCAGGAATGCAGGAGACGTGAAAACAGACTGATGGGATCTGTCAAGTACGTCTGAGAGAAAACAGGCCTTTATGTATCTGCTGAGCAAATTGCTTTTGACTAGCGGCAAACTATCTCTGAGCTCAGCGAGGCAGCAGAAGTGGGAGCTGAAAAGACCATCCAGGGTTATCTAGTACAAACCCTTCATTGTGCAAATGAGCAGCCCAGGAAGAGAGGTGACTTGCCCAAGGTCACACAGCAAGTTAGTGTCTGAGGGAGACCGGTACTCCAGGCTCCTAAATGGGGAAAATTCTACTGCAGATCTCCAACTCAGCCATCCCACCAGAGGCCACAGGCCACACCCTCCAGAGTGTCATCTGGGCACTACTGGCACTCTCTGATGAAGGTGCATGAACTCCAAACTGAAACATTTTATAACCTTCACTTGACCTTCTGGGCTGCCATCCAAGCAGTCTGTGCTTTCCGCCTCCAGAGTTGCTCCACAGTTGACCCCGAAGGAGGGATGGAAATGCCCACTGGAGTCCTGACAGACACCCCTGACTAAATGACAGGCTTCTCCTCAAGGCAGAGACCCCCACATGTGTGTTTGTGTGGAGGAGAAAGAAAAAGAGCAGCAAGGTTTGAAGCTGGAGATTTTTACTGAGCCAGAATAAGAAAGCTTAACCAGGGAAAGCGGTCCCCAATCCTCGGAGCAGGACTGAGAGAACAAACAACGGTGAGCATGTGTTTGAAAAGTAGGGAAATACAGAGAGGAGGGGAAGGCAAGGTTAATATTCCAGGTGGCAGGATAGAAAGGAGGAAGCTGAGAGACTTGGTCTGAAGTCTCAGGTAAAAGACACTCTTTCCAAAAAATAATAAGGAAGGTAGATTTTTCCAGAACATAGACAGCTTAGTTCTTTATACATTAACCTTCTTTTGAACTACATTGCTAGCCTTAATGGCAGACTTTATGTTAACTTCACCTTTGGATATATCTTTTTTGTTCTTAAATAAGAGTCTGAAGGGTCAGTGGGCAGCATGCTACCTCCTCAAAAGCAAAATGACTTGTCAAAAGGACAATCAGCTGACACTCTGCAAACTGACAGTTTGCAAGCAAAATCTTCAGCAGGTATCTATGACTCCAGGAAATATACTTGAGATTTGACTGAAGGAAAAGCACAAATCCTTCCAGCGTTGCATGTAGGGAGCCCGGCTGTGGCATTGACAGTGCTCATGTCTAAGGCAGTTTACAGTATCTGCGGCTCCTCCTGCAAGCAGGACTGCCCGATGCATTTTCTGTCAAATCTAGGTCAGCAGTGTTTCCCCTACTGGGTTTTCTTATCAGTGGAGTAAAGGTTCTTCCTGGTTCATACGCTGCACCCTAGCCTCTTTCGGAGAAGACCCAGATGCAGGATTTTTTTTTTAAATAAAAATTCAATATTTTCTAGTAAAGGCTCAAACCTGATAGTTTTGACAATAACTCCAAATGCTGGATTCATAGTAATCACATCATATCATATTTTTAGGATAAGGAAGCTAGACGTTCTCAAGCAAAGAAGGTAAGAAGTCATTCCTTTAATCCTACCCAAATTCTCCAGAACTATATTCTCAGGTTCAATTGGGGAGCTCAGAATTGGACAGAGAACAAAGAAATGAGACAAATGGCTGACCTACCCCCACTCCTACACACGATGCCAAACTGCTGTTCAGTTCAGCAGAATCATTTAGAAGAATCAAACGACAGTCTCATCTTCACGTGATCATGATTCCCAAGCACTAAGATTATTATTTTGAAACTCTTACTGATCATGGTGGTTCCCCCAGCCAGCGCTGCCTTGGTGCCTTGAAAGAAGTCATCAGCAGAGGTCATCCCCTGCTCGGGCATCTGGAAGCGGGTATGGACATCAATCCCTCCAGGGATCACCATCCGGGAATGGGCTTCGATAGTCTTCACCCCTCCCGGCACGATCAGGTTTTCTCCTATTTGCCTAAACAAACAGGATGGGCGATACAGTTATACACAAAGCCTCATGCATCCAATGGGATCGGACAGACATCTCCACCAACTCACAAAAATTCTTCCCTGTGCTCCTCATATTAGGGGGAGTCCTGATCTTACCCATGATGGGGTGTGCTCCCTATT